CAACAGATTGTGTATGTTGATTTCGTTGTTGTTATTGTGTTGGTTTCAACATTTTTACATGAAATTATGTGATCGGTTATTCTGGGTTTGCCGACTGTGAGGATTGAGTTCTTTTTCATAAATTAATTGCCTTACTTTTATTTCCTGTCTTCCTTTCTTGTTATTAGTATTATATTGCATACATGTTATTTTAAGTGGCCCGACTTAGCCTTGTCACTTCCTCGTCGAGATTAGGCTCGACACTTATAGAGTACATGGGGTTGGTCATACTACACGCTGCACTTCTTGTGCAGATTTCGGAGTGGGTCCTAGCGGGGTTCAGTAGATTTGCTCGGGTCCAGTTCGTGACAGAGACTTGAGGTACAGCTGCACAACGTTTGCAGCCATGAAGTCCCCTTCCCTCCTATATTTACTACTTTTCTGAGTTCAAAATAGTGTATTTTATTCCGACCACGTTTGTAGTAATCTAGATGTTCATGTACTCGTGACACCAATTTTTGGGTTATGTTTAGACTCGTTATTCAGTATTATCATACTATGCCTCAGACTTGTACCATTTTCATCGTTATTATCTTGTCATCAAATTGCTTAACTTAGTTAATTTTTTGTTCACGTCGGCTTGCCTTGTAAGTAGATGTTAGGCGCCATCATGACCCCGAGGTTGGAATTTCGGGTCGTGACAGTCGGATCTATTAAAAAAAGGACTATTTAGAGAGGTAGTTAAAAGATCATCGAGGGAAATGGGACTATGACCGAGGACAAGTCATTGTGGAGATAACTCTTCCTAGAAGACTGGAGATATGAAAATCTAGGTTTAAGGAGCTCAAACAAAGTCATTAATGATGGTTCAACATTGTCTAATAAAATTTCTTTTTGGTCCATTCTTGCGATGAGACAATGTTCAGTATCAAGGATAAAGCGTTAAGACTTTTTAATGGTTTCTAAGTTTGATACGGGGTATATCAAATAGTGTATCTACGACATAACATGTTTAGGAATCACCTATGCAAGTGTGAAGTATTAGCCGCTTCAAAGAGAGTTCTGTAAGGCCAATTCTCTATGCATTTATGAAACCAGGCGGTGTTCATCACTGAAACAAACACAACAATAAGAACCAAAAACGGTTAAGGGCTGATTGTGTGGCTTATGGTTGTCTAGGTATACACCAAAGCTTGACGGTTCAAAGATATCAAATCTACTGATTGACTGAGTATATCTGACACATGTTCATTACGGAAAGTTCAAAGGGAAACCTACTTATGCAGATGCTATTAATCCTTACCTGCGAATCACACAAGTTTTTTCATGTTTCTTAAACATATTTCCATCCCCATTCATGTGGTGGATTGATAGGTTTCGTGAATGGAAAATGGAAGAGGCACCTTTTAAATTGAACGTCTTCATCTCACTCTTTCATTGTCTATAAGTTTAGAGGCTTAGCCTCATTTTTCAGAAAATAAAAAATCTGAAAACTTCTCCCATCTTTTCTACATTATTGCATTGTTTTTCCAAATAAATAAAGTGTCAAGTGTAATTTGCTCCGTTTGTTGAGTTTACTGAAATTCTGTAATTTTGACTACCAATATTACAGAATAGTTTTTTCGTTCTATCCTAGGAGGAAGTAATCCATAACCTTGGGCAATAGTGAGGAGATTAAATTTCTGAAGGACACACAAACAACTTGTGGGCTCGAAAATTATTTTATATTTTGTTTTATTGAACTGACATTTCTTTACTTCTCTGATTTTCTGATTTTGATCATAGATTACTAACAACACATGTGTCGCTTAGGGTATAAAGGGCATGATAACTTTTCGTCATCCTCACTTTCCTACGGTTTATCATGGACAGTTTATTCAGGGTTTCAAACTAAACGATGGTAACTAACACGAGTGCGCTCGTTGAGAGACTTCACCGAACACCTTTGAGCTGACGACAGCCATACACAGAGGCGGATCTAGAATTTAAGTTTGATAGGTTCAATGTTTAAGGTTTTTAGCATTGAATCCATTGTATTTTAAAGTTATGGGTTCATATTGTTATATATTGTAATATTAATGAATTTTTGTACATGAATTTGTACTCCGCACCAAAAGTATCGGATTTAGTTAAATCCAGTGCTGATACATTATATCTGCCTATGGCCATGCACCACCTGTGTCTGTGTTCCCGAAGGCACCCCTCTCTTTCAAGAGGATTCACGACATGTCAAGTCCAAGTAAGGTTCTTCGCTTTGCATCAAATTAAATCACATGCTCCACCGAGCTTAGAAGTCAATTATGGGAAAGTCGAAAACTATTGTATCTTTTCTAAAGCAACATTCTCCCTTCTATCGACAAGAGGAGTTTGTTCAGATGGTCAGCACCCCCCTCATATAACCTCAGGGCCTCGTGGGTTCGAGTCACCAAAGGAGCAATAACTCCAACAAAGGGGAATCAAAAGAAAAAAAAAATTCCGTGCTATCTATTTTTAGTGGAATTATAGAACTTTCTCCCGAAGTTGCGGAATGAGTCTAATCAATAAAATCCATCATTTTTTATATTCCTTTATTATTATTATTATTATTATTATTATTATTATTATTAGTCTTTAATGTATGAGCATATTTTTTTTTGTACAATATTTTTTATGACTTTCTGTCATACTTAACACACTCATAATGCTTTAGTAATAGTTTGAAACAATGAATTTGGTCACATTCATTTCAGTCTTTAAAAATGACCTTTTTTGTCCAAAGTCCAAATTCAATCTGTAGTTGGCTGATGTCTCAAAAGTCAACCGTTACGAAGAGGCCTTTGTCCCATGTATTAATTGCAAATCACTTCTGAGAGTTTATTTTCACAATTCTCAACTATTTATGCAGCATTGAAAAGGTCGCTAAATTTTTTTAAATTTTCGGTGATCAAACACCTATTTTAGTTGCTAAATTATTAACTTTTATCATTTTTTAATATATCAGCTACTATCTACCGTTACTTGATGAAATTGATTCCCAAACTAATATACCCAGCAACAGGGAATAATTTCATAATATAATATGTCATTGTCAAATAGTTTTCTAAATAAAATAAAGAACAATATTGTAGGTCATATATCCCATTATAACAATCAAAGTCTATGGCAAAAAATATGGGATAATGGGGCCATAAATATAGTATAACTTGAATAAGTCCCTGTATACAACCATAAACAACGGTTAGCTACGGTTGTTTTGCTTGGTTGAGGTTTGAATTTGAATCTCTCTAATTTAAGATTATTAAGTTTGTTATTATGTAAATTTTTTCTTTTACAATCATGTATTTGCTATGAATAACTTTGATTATTTTGAGTTTCTACAAAGTTTTAAATAGATTAAAATGTCATTGACTTAAAGATTTATGTGAATGTGACATTTTATCAATACTTTATCTATTGCAATTATTTCTAGCCTCAACGGCATAGCACTCGGCGATCACTAATCTTCTGTACCAAGTACTTTCACTGCTAGTTATTGTTGTGCAGCCACCATTTGTAATCACATTCATCACCAGCGACCACCATCAATCAGCTCTACAGACAACCCCACCATCACTAGCCACCTTCATCACCAGTTGCCACCTTCCACCGCGCGCCATACGTCGTTCATCGTACAAAACCATCATTCACAATTACATCTACTACCATTCACCACCACACATATATTATATCTGGCTGTTATTGTACAACTACTATGGTTGTCTCCCTCCAACAATTAACAAACAATCAACCCCCACCATTTACCACTTCGCAGACCATCACCACCTACTATTATCACCATAGGCGGATTTGGGATTTTAAACTGTATGAGTTCAATTTTTAAAATTTTTAGCATTGAACTCATTATGTTTTTAAAGTTATGGATTCAATTGAACCCGTCGAGTATAGACTTTATCCGCCCCTGACTACCATGACTATCCGTTGTCACCGTCGATAACTTTTGGAGTATTTTATCACACAAAGGCATTCTACATTCACATGAAAAAATATGTAGTATTTTTCTCAAGTTTTTTTTTTCTGGATATAAGAATTGATTATAATTTTATTTAAAATTTATATCTATTAGGTTTTAATAAATAAATTATACACTTTTAAGAATATAAATGTTTTTAATTATCAAATCTTTAAATTTAGAACAATATTTTGTAGTAATTAAATATTTCGTAGTATTCAGATCAAACATTTTAATGTCAGGAAATAACCAAGGCTTTACTAAACATTTTTTTACACGTTAATGCCAAGGAGAATGTCTCTTGTAAATATCGTAAGAAAAAAAATTGGAAAAGGGAGAGAGATTATCGTTCATTCTCTTTTTGATTGCAACAAGTGAAACAAACAAATATGAACAGAAAAGAAACATCACTTTACGTTTATATCTTTTGTCAAAATTAAGGAATAAAAATAGATTTTCTCTCTGTTTCTCTTTCTTTTTTATATTAGCTTAGCATTATTTGTTTTAATCGGGTAAATTAAAGTATTTAAAGTATTAAACTAACTGATAGAAAAAATGAAGATCAGCTTTATGGTCAATTATAGATATTATTTTTGTTATTATATAATTATTTTTACGGGATATTAATAAAATATAATACTGAAGAACACCAAATAAAACATAAAAGATCTTACAAAGTAATTCTGAACGAAATTATTTTTTTTAAAATCTAATACGAGGTTAAAAGAGTAATTAGGTCTCAAGGGAAGAAATCCAAATAAATATACTAACAATAGAATTAGCATTTAGCACATAAAGAATTGAGGAAATATTAAGAAAACAAAGAGAAGAACACATGTGTTAAGTCAACTTAAAAACTTAGGAATATTAAAACAAATAATTAAAAAATAATAATAATGCTAATAGTACTAAGGTACTAAAGAGAGGTACTTTGTCAAAAGCAAATTTTGCGTGTAAATATTTGGTTGGTCGATTCTATATTTTTTCCCCCAAATGGTTGATTGGTTCATATTTGTTCTTTCTTTTTCTCTCTTCTGTTTTTGTGTGGAGAGGAAAAAACGTTCCTTCTCTTTCTCTCTGTTCCCTCTTTTACTTTTGTCTGAATTCCCCCTTTTTTCCTCTCTCTCTGTTTGAAGTTTGTTTCTTTTGTGCATTTCATCAAACAGAAGAGAGGGTGTGTTTTTTGTGTTTTGTGTGCTCAGAATTAATGGAAATTCCGGTGATGGGCTGCTTCTGATCATCATCATAATGGATTTTGATGCCGGAATTTCCTTGTCTGTGACTGAAGGTCCTTCCTCTTTGTCACCGTCTCTCGATCAAGGTACTCGCTTTTTATTTTTTAGTCCATTTCAATAAGAAAAGTAGTCAATAATTTAACATAAACTTCGTATTTTTTTTTTTTTTTTCAGTTCATGTTACCCTATTTCGTTTTTAATCGTTAAAAAAAATATAATGACTCTTTATAAATTTGGAAATAATCTAACATAAATTGCCCATTTTACCCTTAGTAACACTGCCTCTTGACTAATAAGGTACTCAGCCCATTTAGCCCGTCTCAACTTTATGTGACCCTGTTTACTTGTTTAGTCTATTAAAAAAATATACCCTAATATAAATTTGAAAAAATTTAGCTTAAACTTTTTAAGTAACAAGTTTTTTTCTTTATTTTTTTTTAATTGAGTATCATTAATGTAATTGTTGTGCTTGAAATATAATGCTGCTAATGTTTGTAATCTTGACTTGTAATTTTTTATATTTTTGTTGATTCTTAAATAAGGTTGGACGACAAAGATTGGATTTTTATACATGGGATATTCTTTTTTGTGGCAAAAGTATTCATCTTTGCCAAAACTTTGCTGTATATGGTAGTAATACATATGTTATTCTGAGCATGCCAAAGTGCAGATACGATATTATGGTGTCAGTTCCAAAAGAAAAAAAAGATCCTATATAAATTTGGAAACAATTTAACATAAACTTCATATTTCACCCTTTAATGGCAAGGTTTTCTTTTCCTTTTTTTTTCTTTATTTTATTTTGTTTTATATGAAGGATCATTACTGTAACTGTTATGGTGAAATACAATGTTGGGAAAGTTTGTAATTGAGTTGCAATTGTTTAATTGTTTTTTTGTTGCTTATTAAATAAGGTAAGAAGATAAAGATTGGATCTTTACAATTGGGATATTTGTTTTTTGGGAAAAAGTTTTCATCTTTGCCCAAGCATTTGCTGTATATGGTAGTAGAGTAATATATTACTTCATATACTTTGCATATTGTTCTCACAAAAATAGATCAAATGCTAAGTCTTTTTCCCTTTTTGTCTGCATATTATGATAATGCACCCTTAATTCTTTTTCATCCTTTCATTATTTTTTTCTTTTTTGACTTTTTAAGTTTTACAACTCTCCACACCCCAACAAAAAAAAAAAAAATGAAGGAAAAAACAATAGTTTGCTTCTATTGATATATGGATTTTTCTGTCACTATTTCTAAATTAATTAATATGAGAGGCCAATATAGGATTTGGATCTGTAACAACAAATGGTGGCTAGTAAAATTTAGGTGAATTGTCTAATATGGTTTAAAGAAGAAGAGTTCACGTGGAATTTGAAAATAAGCAAAGATGCTTTGATGATCAAAGTTTTGTGCTTTTCTTATTTCTTGATAACTTTTTGGATGCATTGTTTCTAATTTGTTGTATGACTTATGATGCTGATGAAATGCGCCTAAACTACTTATGGTTGTACTCATTAACTTTCTTGTACATTTATTGTTAGACGAATATTATATAAGCAAGGTATGCACAAGTTGGCTCGGATGATACCCTTATTAAACAAAATATAGAACCGTATAAGCAAGAAAAGAAATGCACCTTATTAAGTTGTTTTATTTTTCAAGATCAAATGCTGGTAAAATGCGTTTACAAGGTCCAGAACTTAGAGAAGAAATTTATGGAACTGGTATCAATACTAATATTACTTAAGCTGAAGTAGTGTTTATTGCGTATCCATTGGTTTTTCAGACACTCTGTGGCAAATGAACTTGAGATCAAGGGAATCAATTGAGTCGGGACATTATCCTGTCCGTGAAGGTGAACCAGATTGTTCCTACTACATCAGAACTGGTCTCTGTAGGTTTGGATCAACTTGCCGATTTAACCACCCTCCTAATAGGAAACTGGTAAGGCACTGTATTCCACTTATTTCATGTAGCATATGTCCTATATGACGAACTCTTATGTATTTGTTCTCCGTAGTATATGACGTTCTTTCCATTTTAGGATTCAAAGTGTTTGACACTATTCTACTACAACAATTTTCACTACTCTTAGGAATTCAAATTGTTAAACTACTCAAATTTGGAACATTGATGTGACATTATCTATATGATACGTCAGATTAACAACTTAAACTTCTTATGTAATCAAGTACCATCATATAAAATAGGATGGAGGGAGTATTTATCACTAAGGAATAGAGCATTATCACTAATTGAATTTCTTTCTTCTTTCCTCTTGATTTACATGGTGTCAAATCCAAATAGAGGCAATTGTCGAATCTAGGTTGTTTCTTTCATTGAGAAAATCTTTCAACTTTGTAAGTAAGCCGGCACACTCATTGCCTCGATATTGGTACCAATCTCGGCGGTCAAGTTAGTCTGTTGACCACATTTATAGTTGTCTCGTGGAAATGACCACATTTATATTTCGTCTCGTGGAGATGACCACAGTTGTTAACAGAGACACTGCTATGCACTACTACTCGAGCCAACAACATTACCGTCACTTTTGGTGTATTAACTTCCACACCGTAGGCGCTAGATGCTGTCCACGACTGACGTCATCAACCACATTAGCATGTCGTCCCTGTCAGTAGTCTAATTAGCACTGCCATCTCAGCTTACCATTTAGCTAGTAGAGCACATCACTTAGTCCAGTAAGAACCACATCATGTGTGCCATGTCCACAATACAATGCCATGTCAGCCTGTCAATGTCACCTACTGTGTTACATAAAAACTATCAGGAGCCTCCGACCATATGATCGACTGCGGAAATTCATTGTGTTATTTTCCAATTTAGCCATAGTAGTTATTCTTGTTTTATATTTCTAATATCCTGGGACACCTTACTTAGGCTCGGTGTATTATTCCGTCTTCTACCAATGTTCCAATCAAGGTCAGTGACTCCATCTTGTGTGCGGATGACGTTGGTATTATGGTTAATGATCCTAAAGAGATTGAGGCACCAAATGATATTTCCTTATTCAAATTCAAAGCAAAGTTTGGGTTGGCTCAAGTATTATTTTGTCACAGAGGTGGCCCAGTCAACTTAAGTGTGGTCTATTACGAAAAGATAATTATCTTGGATGGACCAATATGGTTGATTGTCGACCTATTTACACACCAATGTTGTTACTTTTGAGACTTGAGAAACCTTTAGCAAAACACTACTACATGGTTGATCGAGCTTTTTTATTTGGTGTGTGTGTGTGTGTGTGTGTGTGTGTGGATAAGATAAGAAAGCAGGGGTCAGTAAACTCAATTATCTGACCGCATATTGAAACTTCTTTTTCGGTTAGTGTGGTTAGTCAATTTTTTAGGATATCATGATAGTCATTGAAATGCAATGGTTTGTTCCTTTCAATATATCAAGAGTGCTTTGGGTCAAGGACTCCTTATGAAGGTGGAGAAAATAGTAAGATTGTTAGATATGTTGATGAAGATTGGACTAGACCTCGATCTGATAGATGGTCTATGCACATTCATTGTGTATTGAGTGGTGGAAATTTGATCTCTTGGAAAAAAAATTAATAATTGTCTGGTCAACTGGAGGATTGAATATAGAGCAATGGTTTTAGCAACATATGGAGCTTATGCATTTCAAACAGTTGCCTCAAGAACTGTAGTTAAAAAAAATAGCATAGTTGACATTGGATTATGACACTCAAGTCGGATTATATTTCTTCTAATACATTGTTTCGTAAATAGACCAAGATGTTGTGTTCAATTACCATCTATCGTAAGAAAATATTGTTTTAACTTAATTCCATGAGCTCTGTTATCTCAGCTCGCAAACACGTGTACTTAATATGTATGTGATCCTACCATTTATAAATTTGTGTGGGAAGCTTGGAGCACGTGATCTTTACATACAATTTGAGAGGAAACGTGATAATGCATCTAAGATCAGTGTACACGTTTTGATTAATTGTACAGAATATTTTTAAAATTGTTTCACAACTAGGAACTTGGTAAGTAGAAAACTTTCTTTATTTGGTGGAGCCTAAACTCCTATATAAGGAGCCTTTATGTATGTTATTATCACCAACATAATAAGATTTCGATCGTCTTTAAAAAGAAAAAAAAATTCCCTCTTCTATTTTCTTTTTGATGTACAATGGGTCTCTAAATGACTTAATCCTGTATAAATTCCCAAATGCCAATATCCAGAGAGACATATGCAGCAGCAAAACAGGAGAGATAAGTCACCTCCAAATAGGAAGGTATAGGAAACCAATTTATATGCTTTGTTGGGAGTTGTGATAGCTGTTTTTGTGGAAAGATATGTTACATAGTTCCACACTTAATGTCTTTAAGAGATGACTATATATGTGTTTCATCCATTCCGTACTGTAGCTAAGACACTAGAAAATGTGAAATCAATTTTCAAGTGGAGACATCAGTCCTCTGAATGGGTTTTGCTTGTCTAATAGTTGGATAAGTGATTTAAACTTTTGGGGATTTTGACAAATATTTACTCCGTCTCTTGGAATAAGAGGAGACTAATTAATCTAGCAACACAATGGGTTTCCCTTTTCCTGGTTATCTGTCAACAATATTTCTCATTTACTATTATATATGGCATAGAGATTTTCCATCTGCTCCAATCCACGATCACGCTCAACAGTGCATTTTAATAACATAAGTGGATGTTATTACCCTTGTTATCTGAAAACAGAGAGAGGAAGCTTCCATTTGCATTCATTGCTCCTTGAAGCCTTTCCTTCTCACTGCAACTTACCTCCTCTGTCATTCACTCTTCCTCTCTCTCTCTCCATGTTATCCTTTCTCTGCAGTTGCCTATGCCCCTTTAGTGTTAACTTCCATGCAGTGTTGTCAAAGGCGAAAAGTTTTAAAAAGCGTTCTTGGTCTATTGAGGCTTTAAGTGCAACGCACAATTTAAGTGCGGGCTTCAGTAAAAAGAGGCTCAATGAATGAAAATATAAAAATATATATATGTAATTTAAGAAAGAAGTAACAAATTCATTCATAATGTTTTCCTTAACAGCTAATATGCTTATTTGCCGATTATATTGGTTTTATAATACAGCTCGATTTAAGATAGAACTCATGGACAATGAGTGCATACACCTTAGTGCCTTGCCTACATTGAAGCGCAGCTTAAGTGAGGCAAAGCGCCCTCCCCGAGCTTTTCTGAGCTTCAGGGCGTAAGCGCGTCTTAAATGAGCCTTTAACAACACTGCTTCCATGCGCTGGTAGTGAAAAAAGAACTCCATATATTGGAAGTAATAGATCCCAAGAATGTCAAATTGGTATACTATAAGGCAGGAGCAGAAAAAGAGTCTAGATGAAAGGTAAAGAAAGGAGGAAGGATGGAGACGGGGTGAGTTAAGAACAGATTGGGGCATGACTATTTCTTTTTCTGTTTGATGAAACTTTGAAGAACTCTTTATGGATGAGCTTCCAAGACTTGGCTTTATTAAACTGACAAAAGAAGTTCTGCTCAGGGACTCTTTGTCTCCTTCACCAAAATGTTTCATGACAACGTGATATTGTTTGTAAGCCCATTTTTGGGCAACAAGGCCTGGAAAGTGGACAGGTTAGAGAAAATTCTCCTTTTCCTTTATCATAAAGAAGAAGAATTGAAAGTCAACCTGCACTCTAATTTTAAGTTGCCAAAAATTTAGAGTGACGGAGGTTATAAGTAGGCATGTGAAAATCTCAGCCATAGGTTTTGAATCTTCACATCCTTAGTTTACGTATGTTATGCATACTAGTATAAGCTTCCATGTACGCACTTCAGCTGGCATTTCTATACACTGCAATAGGAGATATTCAGTTGGGATCCTATTTCTTGATGATAATTAGTAGATGTATAACGCCAATGCTGTCTTCCTGTTAGAAATTTAATAAGCGTCACTGAATTATGACTCTACATGTATTCATAAAGATTTATGCAGTTATGATTTGCATATATTCCTTTGTTTGTATCTTGGGAACTGATGGATATGCAAAGTATTTGATGCAGGCCATTGCCACGGCAAGGATGAAAGGAGAGTATCCAGAAAGAATGGGGCAACCAGAATGCCAGGTATATCCAGACCAATATGTATTTTAGCTGCCGATCATCATACTATATTATAAGTGTGAAGACTTTTCGATAATGTTATTTTACTAAAATATCCTTCAAAACATGAATGGCCAAATTACCCTATACTTGTAAAATTATTTTCCATTAAATATATATATATATTTATTAAAATTACTACTATGTGAACGCGTCATTAAATTGAGATCCTATTAAATGGTAGTATTCAATTATCCTTCCCATTACTTTTCATGTTTTTTGTCAGTTTGCTCCTTTGAGCTTCCACTATTAAAATCATCCGCTCAAAACCTTTTTATATGTTTGATATTTTTTCGTATAAAAGTGCACAATATATTGTCACTTCATTTCTTTTACAGTGCCTTCTTTACGCCAAAGTTGTATCCATTGACTTAATTTTTCTCTCCCATAAAAAGACAATGATCTTTTGGCTTTTGCTTTCCTATTTGGCAACAGATACATTTTATTGATAAATTACAATTTTTTTCTTCTATGTACAAACTTTTCTTTCTCTTTTATTATTTTGTTTTAGGACTTCATGAAATTGAGTCTATCTTTTAGACTTTTGAATAAATATGCTATTCTAAGCAACGTTATGTTGGGATATTACCCATAAATCAAAATCATGTATTAAGCATCATTATCTGATATGTACCGAATTACTTTATTAATCCCAATTTAAAGAATGAAAAAGAAGAAAATATCTCCTTTCATTGTACTAAGTTTTCCTTCATTACTATTACTTTTAGATCCTACAACTCCTTTTTCTTTTTTCAAAAATAAAAAAATTCTGCTCGTGTTGTCCTAGCAGATTAAAGCCTGTCTAATAGGAGTATTGGATTATGTTGTCACTGAAAGAATTTTTTTTTGAGAAAACAAAAGCATAATTTATACAAGAACAAAAGATGTAAAAAAAAGAGATTCGGTTTCTATTCCTATTATAACTTTTCTTCTTCAACAGTTCAACTCATGTTATTTGTGTGTATAAAATATAATGATTCCGACAAAATAAGGGAGTTAGCTCAATCTATATATGAATAGGCTATTCAAAGACTTATATAGATTAAAAGTAACAGTAAAAGTGAAATATTCATTAACTTTTATTTAATATTATGATTCTTGTAACTTTTCTCTATGCTCACTTTTTTTGTCTAATAAGAGCATATATATGACTTTCAAATTATTTTAAAGCAGGGTCTTATTTAGTAATTTTTTTTAATCATTCCTTAATTTTTTCTTTAGTCACACAGTCTCCTCCATTTAGATCGTGAAGTGCTAATTACGCCTAATTATTTGTACAAATCAGCTACTAATATTCTTTCTCCTAATTTACACATGACATGACTCATAATTTTGAATAAGACAACAAAATTCATGTACGTGCAACGATCAAGTATGTCAATTAACGATCAGGTATCTCTATCGCAATTAATTATTACTTCTTTGTAAGTATGAACCATGAAATTAATCATGATCTACTAGCTATTTAAGAAAGACATGAGTCGATCAAATATACTATACTACTTCCACAAAATACTACTTCCATTTGATACAACTTTTTGATATGTATGTTGTTGTAAAAGGAGGAGGCTACTATTTCTTAAAGACAAGGTAGAACCTTTAAACATGTCATTTATATTGTTGAAGTATAAAAGAACAAAAAATTGTGAAGCTTAATGTTTGATATGCTAGACAAGCTGCATAATTAAAGTTGTTTGAACATACTTTTAAAGTTTTATTATATAAATTTTCTAAACTATTTTACACTTATTGTATAAAGTATACGCGCAACGCGCGTATTTAAAACAAGTATAGGAAAATGAATAGAAGTGTAATAACATCTATTCATACAAATGGAATAACAACAAATAGCCTCAATACTAAACTAGCTTGAGGCTAGATTTTTACAAAAAGGAAATTTAAATTTAAAATCAGAAAATTTGTCAAGACATTTTGTTAAATAGAGCCTATTCTCTTTTAAATTTTAATTTAGAATGCTTTTTGTTAGATAGTTATGTAAATAATGTGAATTAGTCATAGTCCCACATAAAATATGAGTAGGATATGTATTGTATAAATAGGGCTCATTGTATTATAATTGAATAGAATATCAATAATATATTTTTCTCCCGTGCTTTCTCACATGGTAACAGAGCATTAATGAGAGAAAATCATTGTGCGTCATTCCAGCGACATCCAGGAAGAAAGAACTCAGTCACAGTGCAATATTCCGGTGACTTAAGTGACTGATTTGCATCATCTCACGTTTGGTGAGTGTTGTGCACAAACCAACACCACTATTAGACTCCGAAAACTTCGGCGACCAAACCCCATTCAGATTCTTCGGCAACAGAAGCCCCACACGCCTCCATGCGCCGTCTAGATCTGTGACTCCACCGGTACGTCTGTCCCACGCACCGGCACGTGCGTGCTTCTCCGACCATTGTTTGGCTGAGCTCTTCAGGACAGTTTGTTCCACAGCATTTTCGAGTCCACCAGTACTATTTCCGACAGATTCCGACAACTTTGAAATTTTTCGGCGTGAACAATGTTTTTTTCTCTGTTGTGAACATTGTTTTCCTAGATATTTCTTCAGTTTTCTAGGAGTTACTGATTTCCACTATTTCAAGTTAACCCTACAACTTTTAGTCAAGAATTTGAGAAATTAATTGTAGCGAAATGGGATCCAATACTATGAATAGTTGGATGGTTTCTCTACCGGATTATACTGAGTTCCTTCATTACAAAGCGTTTAAACATACATCTTCAGAGATAGCTTCCGTTGTTCAAACATGTAATAGCGTGACTTGTGTCTCTCAATCTTCATCCTCCGAGTCATGGGTCATTAATTCAGGTGTATTTGATCACATTTCTGATAACATATCTCTTTCACTACTATTTTATATTCTCAATCTCTTCCAACAATCACAATAGCCAACGGGTCTCAAACCATGGCAACTGGAATAGGTCAAGCAAGTCCACCTCCTTCCTTACCTTTAGATTCAGTTCTTTATGTTCCTGGTAGTGCTTTTAATCTCATAGCCGTTAGTTGCTTAGACAAATCACTTAAATGCTCTATTTTATTCTTGATGACGCAGTACATGGCGGATCATTGGTACCAGGCGTGAATCAAATAGTTTTTATTACCTTATCCTTGCTAAATCACATGAACTCACATATTGTCTTTCTTCAACAACTTGTCCTGTTACTGATTCACCAGATTTGTTACATAAACTGTTGGGACATCTCAGTTTGTCAAAACTTCAGAAAATAGTACCTGGATTATCTTGCTTGTCCACTTTAGAGTGCGAGTTATGTCAGCTCGGTAAGCGTACTCACTCCTATTTCCCTCGGCGTCTTGATAACGAGCAGAGTCACCTTTTACTTTAGTCCATTAAGATGTTTGGGGTCCTTATTGGGTTAGTTCTACCTTGGGATTCCGCTGCTTTGTCAGTTTCATTGATGATTATTCCTGGTGCACTTGAATATTTTTTATGAAAAATCGATCTGAGTTGTTTTCTATTTTCTAGACCTTCTATGCTGAAATTCAAAATTGATTTAGGGTTTCTATCCCCACATTCGTAGTGATAATGCCCTAGAGTATTTGTCTTCCCTATTTCAACAGTTTATGAACTCTCATAGAATCATTCATCAAACATCTTGTCCGTACACATCTCAACAAAATGGGGTAGCCGAAAGAAAGAATAAACGTCTCATTGAAACTGCTAGTACTCTACTCATACAATCTCATCTTTCGTTGCGTTTTTGGGGGATGCAGTTCTCACATCTTGTTATCTTATTGATCGTATGCCATCCTCAGCTGTCCAGAATCAAGTGCCATTCTTTGTCTTGTTTCCCCACTCATTTTTGTTCTCTCTTCCATCCCATATCTTTGGGAGCACGTGTTTTCTTCATAACCTTACTCCAGGAAAAGATAAGTTAGCTTCTCGTGCTCTTAAGTGCGTATTTCTGTGTTACGTGAGAACGCAAAAGGGATATCGATGCTATTCACCTGACCTACAGTGGTACCTTATGTCCGCTGATGGTACCTTCTTTGAAACCCAGTCATACTTCATAGGTCCAGATGATTACTTAGATATTTCTGAGGTGCTACCAGTTCCATCTTTTGGAGATTCAATCACTATTGGCCAAATACATAGACAACCACTCTAACTTGGCACCAATTTTCATTTTGGCACTTTATCTCATCCTTGTTTCATTTTGGCTTCAACCCCTTTTATTATATTTCATTTTAACACAAAAAGTTGACTCAATGTAAAATATAAAGAGTGTGTGTATAAACGCTTCTGAAGTCTAATAACTATCTAATTAAATATAGCCAACTGTTTTTTAATCCATGTCTACCGGGTCTAACCAAATACCCGGAACCCTACACTAATAACTCGGATGGGCTCTGGGTAAAATAAGAGCCACCTGCTTATTTTCTCTAAGTCATAAACTTGTCTACCTTAATCTCGTTCCCAAAATTCTTAGTCATAGGTAATGAAACCCTAATCTCGTTCCCAAAATCCCTGGTCGTAGGTGATGAAATCACTTATTACAACTTAACATAATTGGTACCTAAAATCAATTTCATTTCCTCCATAATAGGTACATGAAAAAGGTACATAAATAAAAGGCACACAAGACTTAACACTAGCCTTTTGCAGTACAAATTGAACTCCGACAATGTTGAACCCATTAGAGATATCATCAACATTCTTAAAGTTTGGAACTTCAAGCTTCAGACGAAGATATGGATTTTAAGAAATTAAAAAAAAAAACTAACTAAATAAAGGAACTAAGATACGGCAAAGCTTTGAAGCTTTCTGGAGATGGAGATCGAGAGCAACCAAGGAATTATTTTGGGAGTCTAGATGAAAGAAATAATGGGGAAAGAGGTTGGGCATTTAAAATAGAGCCTCACGCGCTTACCAGGTGAGGAAATTCATCCAATGTGACAAGTCAGCTTTTTGTGTTAAAATGAAACATATTAAATGGGATTGGAGTGCCAAAATGGAACAAGGCTGAGATCGAGTGCCAAAATGAAAATTGATGCCAAACTAGAGGGGCTGTCTATGTATTTGGCCATCACTATTTCTCATCCATCTTCCTCCACAGTTCCAGCTCCACCACCTACAGTTCCAATTTCAGTTCCAGCACCTACAACTCCACCACTCCTGACTTATCATCATCGTCCGCGCCCAACATCAGGCCCAGCTGATTCACGTCTTGCACCTGACCCTGCTCCTACTGCGGACTTGTCTCCTCTTAGTCAACTGATTGCACTTCGAAAAGGTATATGGTCCACACTTAATCCTAATCCTCACTATGTCGATTTAAGTTATCATCGTCTGTCACCACCCCATTATGCGTTTGTATTATTTTTGTCCTCTGTCTCCATCCATAAGTCTACAGGTGAAGCACTGTCTCATCCAGGATGGCGACATGCTATGATTGACGAGATGTCTGCTTTACATACGAGTGATACTTGGGAGCTTGTTTCTCTTCCTTCAGGTAAATCTTCTGCTGGTCGTCGTTGGGTGTATGCAGTCAAAGTTGGTCCAAATGGCCATGTTGATCGACTTAAGGCTCGTCTTGTTGCCAAATACTCAATATATTTGGGCTCAATTATAGTGATACTTTCTCTCCCGTGCCTAAAATAGCATCAGTCCGCCTTTTTCTATCCATGGCTGTTGTTCGCCATTGGCCTCTTTATCAGTTGAACATTAAGAATGCATTTCTTCACGGTGATCTTAAGGATGAGGTTTATATGGAGTAACTACCTGGTTTTGTTGCTCAGGGAGAATCTAATGGCGTTGTATGTCGGTTGCGCTGGTCCCTCTATGGTCTAAAGCAGTCTCCTCGAGCCTGGCTTGGTAAGTTCAACACAGTAATTCAGGAGTTTGGCATGACTCATAGTGAAGCTGATCATTCTGTATTTTATCGGCATTCTGCTCCAAATTTATGTATTTATCTGGTGGTTTATGTTGACGATATTGTTATTAGCGGCAATGATCAGGATGGTATTACTAGGTTGAAAAACCTTCTCTTTCAGCACTTTCAGACTAAGGATCTTGGCAGATTAAAGTATTTTATGGGTATTAAGGTCGCTCAGTCTAGCTAAGGTATTATGATCTCACAACGGAAGTACGCCTTGGACATTCTTGAGGAGACAGGAATGACAGGTTGTAGACATGTTGACACTCCTATGAATCCGAATTTTAAACTTCTGCCAAGACAGGGAGAACAGTTTAGTGATCCTACAAGATATAGTCAACTGGTTGGTAAATTAAATTACCTCACGGTGACCAGACCTAACATTTCCTTTCCTGTGTGTTGTGAGCCAGTTTATGGATTCTCCCTGTGATAGTCATTGAGATCCAGTTGTACGCATTCTTCGGTATATTAAATCAGCTCCGGACAAAGGATTATTGTTTGAGGATCGAGGCCATGAACGGATAGTTGGATACTCAAATATTGAATGGGCATGATCACCTTCTGATAGACGTTCTATGTATGGATATTGTGTTTTAGTAGGAGGTAATTTGGTATCTTGGAAGAGTAAGAAACAGAATGTGGTTGCTCGGTTTAGTGCAGAAGCAGAGTATTGAGCAATGGCTATAGCAACATGTGAGCTAGTTTGGATCAAACAGTTGCTCAAGGAGTTGAAATTTGGTGAGATCAACAAGATAGAACTTGTGTGTGATAATCAAACTGCCCTTCATATTGCATCAAATCCGGTATTCTATGAGAGAACTAAACACATTGAGATTGACTGTCACTTCGTTAGAGAAAAGATACTCTCGGGAGATATTACTACAAAGTTTGTGAAGTCGAATGATCAGCTTACAGATATTTTCACCAAGCCCCTCACTGGTCCTCGTATTAGTTACATATGTAACAAGCTCGGTACATGTGATTTGTATGCATCGGCTTGAGGGGAAACGTTAGATAGTTATGTAAATAACGTGAATTAGTCCTAGTCCCACATAGAATAGGAGTAGGATATGTATTGTATAAATATGGCTCATTGTATTGTAATTGAATAGAATATCAATAATATATTTTTCTCCCATGCTTTCTCACGCTTTTTAATAGTTCAAAAGTTCTCTCATTTTTGGAGTTTTAGTGAATCAGAGCAGTAGACCCACAGGCAGAAGACTCAAAATGATGCTTTTATGTCTATTAACCATCTTGTTTTGTTAACCATCCTGGAGTGACTAGTTTTTAGAGTTAGAGCAGTCGAGCGTTAAATATAATCATCTTTCTTAAGTTCAATTTATTTTCTGGTTGTTGAAGTCATACTTTGCATGAGCTTTGGTGTGGTAACTTTCCATTTGTCTCCCGCTAATTCCCTTTAGCCTATTTAGCTCACAAACTGAATGATTTTAGCAATTTTACAGTACTACTTGAAGACGGGAACTTGCAAATTTGGAGCCACATGCAAGTTTCACCATCCTAAAGACAAGGCTGGGATTGCTGGAAGAGTTACCCTAAATGTCTTGGGCTATCCGCTTCGCCCGGTTTGACTTCATTATCCGAACTACTTATTGAATTTAATAACATTGTTCTTTCTAATGTATGCAAAAGGTTCTTAGTTCATAATGATTCTAATGAATCTTAACCTGCATTTTTTTCTACTCGCCAAATTGTCAGGCAGGGGCTTGCAAAAGCCCTTTCTTTTGTTCCACATGCTTGCTGCTAAAGTTATATAAGATCGATTGTAATGATTGAAGAGAGCCATACCTATGTTTAATATAGAATATAAAGCTAACAAATGAATTTATTGCCTTGACGTTGTATTTGATATTCATGGGATACATGCATTACTTCGTTGTATTTGCTAGGTGTGTTGTGATTGTGCAGATGGCTGATAAAGACCTCTTTCTTGAAACATGTTTGTGCTTTGTGGTTATACATAATGTCTTTTTTTTTCTGCCTGCAGAATGAGGCTGAATGTGCTTATTACATGAGAACTGGACAGTGCAAGTTTGGAAGTACCTGTAAATTTCACCATCCCCAACCTTCTAACATGATGGTCTCTTTACGTGGTTCCCCTGTTTATCCCCCAGTTCCTTCTGCAACAACTCCTGGTCAGCTGTCCTATCCCTTGTCCAGAGGATCTTTCATCCCTGGTGCACGCTGGCAGGCTCCGTCAAGTTACACTCCATTGATAATGCCTCAGGGAGTAGTATCTGTTCCAGGGTTTGCATACAGTGTAAGCTTCCACATAATACCTTGCATTTGCTTGTTATGTATGGCCTAATTTTGTACTTTGTTGCTATTCGGGAAACCAGAATTTGCTGCATCCAGCCTTCTTTATTATAACTTGGGTTCCAAATTTGCTTGTTGATCAAGAAGTTCGGCTTAAACTTTTTTTTGGTTAAGCTTTTGTAACCTTTTATCTATATTCATATTTGGGGATTACTTTAATCTTTCTGGAATATTTGAAGATTGATGGACAAATATAATAATTACTATATCCTTTTTTGTCGCAGCATGCTTACTAAGATTTTGTTCTTTCTTCAAAGGTTCTGTTCTCTACTTGAATACATTTGAGAATCATTGCATCAGAACATCAGAAAACAATTCCACTTTAATATAGTGGTAGAGATTTTCTTTGGAAGATATCTTGGTAATTGTTACTCCCAAGATGTTTCTCTTTGAGGATGCCACCAACAACAAACAACAACCCAGTATAATCCCATTAGTGGGGTCCGGGGAGGATAGTGTGTACGCAGACCTTACCCCTAACCTGGGGTAGAGAGGCTGTTTCCGATAGACCCTCGGTTCCCTCCCTCCAAGAACTCCCCACCTTGCTATTGGGGTGACTCGAACTCACAATGTCTTTGAGGATGCCACCATTATTAGATATTGAAGTCATACCTTCTTCCGCTTCAGAGTCATTATGCTAGCACCTTCTCCTTCCTATGCTATTTGAGTGAATAATTTTCTTTTGTGGGATGTTAAGATTATTACTTTCTCAATTATGAAATAGGCGAGAAAAGTTTACGAGCTAAGTTTCAAGGAGACTTTTCACTGCCTTTATATTTTTTGGAGATAAAGCAACAGTCTCTTCTGTATTAAGTTGTTATTGTAGCTGATGTCCAGATGGAAGTAAGTTTAGAATGAACTTCTGAGAATATGTTGTCTTCTGAATAATCATCTTTTATTTGGTGGGGAGTGGAGCTGGCTGAGTTTGAACTTGACCTTAGACCTTGGTGGGGAGTATATACAAATTGAACTTAATCTCTTTGGATTTATATGGCAGTAGTCAGGCAAGATGTTGCATTCATTTATGGTCAAGTATTTTCTATAATCTTGTATTGCACAAGCTTGTGAGCTGTGCCTTATCTACTTTGAGGTTTTATAATACGTGCATATGAACTCAATTTACATAGGAGGTAATATCTCTTTCAGGGTCAGATGGGATCGATTTCTTCTCCTGAGGGCCAGCAACAGACAGCTGGAAATAGCCAGGTTTATGGAACTTCACGATCCGGTGATGCAGCAAATATGGGATCCCAAGGAGTCACTTCCCCATACCGTCCAGCTTCTGTTCCTATGGGGTACTATGCATTGCAGGGGGAGAATGTCTTCCCTGAACGACATGGGCAGCCTGAATGCCAGTTTTACATGAAGACTGGAGACTGCAAGTTTGGTGCTGTTTGTAGATTCCATCATCCGAGGGAAAGGCTGATTCCTCCTCCTGACTGCATGTTAAGTCCCATTGGACTTCCTTTACGCCCTGTGAGTACACTTTTTTTGTTATTTGCTAGTGTTTTTATTATGACATAAGTCTAGTGATGAGTTTGCTGTTCAAAACTTCCACACTTGTTTTTTGTCAGCTTTAAGCGGGTAAGATGATATCCTCCTTTGAGATGGATTTTTTGAACATCAATGTGACCAATATTCTATGTATAAATTCAGACTATTTCCACTCACGGGGATCTGCTGTTTATCAGTGCTAATAAACGAGATTTGGAAGTGATGTTAATCGAATATGACATTTCAGTGCAAGTATATATTGTTTCTCATGCTCGACGTACTTGGTGACTGACTCTGCAAAGTTGGTCCTCTCTTAAATTCTGTTTATTAAATATTTTGTTCCAGCTGTGAATAAAGTGCCACTAGGTTAATTAATTGACATTACATGTATACTGGGTTCAAAGAGATGTTTGTCTTCATTATTTTTCTACTTGGAAGATGGACTTGAAGTCCATGAAATAGAGTGTTCTTCAAAAATAAAGTATATGCTTTCAAATTTGTGGGGACCTGTATGACTTGTTGGAATCCATGTTAAGCTAGTTTCTGACTAAGCTGCTAATTGTTTGGTATTATAGCGAGTCATTTTGTGAAAAAATTCGTCAAGTTTAAGGATTAGCAATGAAGAAACAAAGATTTGCTTACTAAGTTTTGGGACACGAAGGTGTTTACTGACAATTGTAGCATTGAAAGCCTTCACTTCTTCGAACTCTCAGTATGCGCTTCTGGCTGAAGATTTTCTAAACCAAACAGCACTATTCTTATTTACAGAAAGCAAAAGGGAAACAGGAGTAAAAGACTCTTTTCAGAAGACAATTCTTTTGACACACACAAAACCGTTTCCTTCAAATTCAGATTCTACTTTAAACATTAAGACTACAAATTCAATCGATTTCTAATCAGACACCACCTTATTGAACTTAGATGTAATTATGTTAGCTAAAGGAGCTGTTGGATCATATTTTGGAAGAAAGTCAAAGGAAGAGAAGAAGAGATGTCGGAAAAGAATAAGTTGAAATTGGATAAAGAAAAAATGGTTACCTTTTCCTGCTTTCCCCCCCCAGTTATAACCTTTTTGGTAATGTGGAGACTTAGTGAGCTGAAAAGATTTCTTTTGGCTTCTTTCTTGGATTTGTTTTGCAGGGAGAACCATTGTGTATTTTCTATTCAAGATATGGGATCTGCAAATTTGGCCCAAGTTGCAAGTTTGATCACCCAATGACGGTTTTCACTTATAGTATCTCAGCATCATCTTCTACTGATGCTCCTGCAGTTCAGCGTCTATTGGGTTCATCATCAGGAACCAGTGCATTGACCTTGACTTCAGAAGGGCTTGTTGAAGCAGTGTCAACGAAGCCCAGGCGACTGTCACTCTCAGAAACAAGAAAGATGCCACCTGGTGATAATAACATTGACAGAGAGGGATGATCTTTATCCCCCCAATTACCAGCCAGCATCATCATTTCTATCTTTTTGAGAATCAATAACAGTTGCCTGTAAATTCTTTTCCATCGGTGGAGATGTACAGAATCCAGTAAAAGTCAATTTATTCTTCTGAAAATGCATTTCAGTTGACAAGGTTGACATCTCTGTACTTCACTTTGGAGCAATGTATAAATCTGCCGATGTTGGCACAAATTGGTGAATCCAACTGTTAATTTGTAATCTGCCTAAAGCCCTCTACCTTTTTATATGAATCAATTTAACCCCCTAATCTCCTGTGTGAATCATTGGTTTCCTCAATTGTATCTGGCTCTCTGGTACTTTTTTGAATATCAGAGAAGGTTGTAAATGATCCAAATGTCTAACTCTCATACCTTGAAGTTGTTCTAGACATATGCTGATGACGTGCTTTGCTTATAATTATTATCAATGACCAGAGTCCAAAGGTATCTCATGGTTATTATCTATTTTTCTCGTCATCAGAAAAGAAAATAGCAATCTGCCCCTTCTAAGTTCTAAGTATTATGATTAACTGAACTTTTTGTTCTATTTTTCTCTTTTATTTTTGGCAGATATTCTCTTTGCAGGTTTTGTATGAGGTAACTTGTGGTGATTACAAACGTAAATGATGTCAATGGATCGTTCTCCGCCTGTTCGGTGCACTATTATCTGGTAACTGGAATTGTTAGGGGCTCACTGAGGAAAACACAGCACCTAGGTAGGTAGAATAGTTTTCATTATGGAAGTGATGACTCTTTCTCCATCTTAAAGAAGTTTATTAACAGTCCCCTGTGAATTTTCTGTATTACAGTGATCGGAAAAGGAAGCAGCACATTCCATCGGGAAAGCAGTTAAAAAGCGATGTAACCTCTTAACTTAAATTTTGCTTTTTCCATCCTTCATCCTCTTTACTTTGATCGTGTAGTTCAGCTTTTCCATTTATTGCCATGTATATATCTCTCTCAAAAATAGAATTGAATTTCAAGAAAGAACGTACTTGTTTTTAAATCATGGAGAGGATTTCTTCCTTGTAGGTAGCTACTTGTGTAATTGTACCTTTTTCTCTCTCAAACAAACCCGAAAACTAGTTCCGCATGATGTATGTTCAGCAGTTTTATTTTATAGGCTACAGGATTACCACAATTGTCATCCAACAAGCTCCAGGATATTGGCAGATCTCATTCCAAGGTGGCACATATCTGTGGCAACAAGATCATCTCTGAAGAATATATTAGGGGTATGTGGTACTGGAATGACAACTTGTGCAAATAGGATGTCATTGCTTTTTTGGGTGCAGTAAGACATCTTACAATCTATGCCAACTTATTAATAGGAAGCTAGAGCTCTCTGGTGATCCGTGAAACATCTGAAGTTTTAATTTACTAAGTGAGATGTACCATGATATAATGAAGTTGAAGTAGTCAACCTTGTAATTTGACATAAACCAGAGGATATTTAACCTAGTATCCCGTTCTCCTAGATGAGGATTGGATTTGGCAGGAAGATGTAAGCTCTAACAAGTCTCTGATCCAATGTAGAAATTTCTGTCTTGACCTAATAAAGGAAGATTTTTGCAGAAATGCAGGGTAAGACTGCATACAAGAGACACTTGTGGTCCGGCCTTTCCCTGAACCCCGCGCATAGCGGGAGCTTAGTGCACCGGGCTGCCCTTTACATTTATGAATTCATAATCAGTGGATTTATTGATGTCACTAGCTGATCCTTGAATCTTTTGAAAAAGATGGTCAGAGAGTCGCTGCCAATCAACAACAAAATAAAGTAAATAGTTATTCAGGGAGTTACACTGAGAACCATATGATATTTTGTGATGAGGAGCCTCTAGATCATGGCACTGTTATTAGCAGCATTCTCTTCTTTGAAAGATCTATGGAGAAAAAATCTGTTAGTATAGAATACAGTGTTTTCGTGTAAATGGAAGGAACAATAGTTATTCTAGTGATTTATTCAATGGTTAGTAGGAGTGAGTAAATTTTCTTTTATTTTTGGCCATGTTGGGATTTATGCTATAACAAATTTTGATCTCTTTTAATGGGGTTTAAACAATTTTTCTGTATGTTTAGGTATTGTATGGTGTTGACTTCGATATAATTTTGGAGAACTGCTTTTTGTATGATTTGGTTGTTGGATTAACCTTCTGGTAACCCCCTCCAGGGCATGTTCGTGGCTAACTAGATCGAGAAATACCAGTAGGTACCAGAGGAGATCGCTTCAATATATTCTGTTTTCTTGAATTTATGAATGTTGAGTTTACATCCTCCTCCTCAGAGAGATACAATTAGATTTTAGTTAACAAATACTTGTCCAACCTCTAAATTCATGGGAGTCTCTTTACTCATTTGGTGTATATTGATTTATTGATAATAATGCTTATTTTTCTTTCTGGTGAAACATTGGATAATAATGTGAGGTATACTTCCTTCAATGGTTCACACTGCCTTGATCAAATTTCTTTGACTAGCCGTTTGTAAATTCATGTTGAAACCTATCATATGAATGATTGCTTGGTAGTATTCTGTCATTTTCATTCTAAAACACAATCTCTTTTCTTCTGTCAGAAAATAAAGTACTCAGACAAATTTGCTAGACAGTTAGCTTCTTGGCGACAGGTAGGTGCGGTAGATTTTTTGTCATTCGTCTGTATGCGATTTCAGATGTTGGAGGGTGTGTGTGTCTGTCTCGAGAAAACCTCAGCTGACAGTTTGCATTCAATGGCGTGGGATAGTCACTTTTTAATATGATATTTAGTTTTTATTCGATATTCTGAGCAAAAATAGCCATTACTCTATTAAAATTAATACGAAAAGACACTTTTACCCTTTCTTCATGAGTGCTATGTGAATATTAAAGACATGGTGTCCTTAATATTTATACTGCACACATGAAGTTAAGGACGCCATGTCCTTAATATTTACATTGCACATATGAAGTGAAAGACATGATATCCTAAAATTTAACAACGGAAAGTGCAAATACAGGACACTTTGTCCTTAATATTTACACATCATTCATGAAGTTAAGGACGCCATGTCCTTAATATTTACACATCATTCATGAAGTTAAGGACACCATGTCTTTAATATTTACATTGCACACATGAAGTTAAGGACACCATGTTCTTAACATTTACACTGCACATATGAAGTTAAGGATATGTGGTCCTAAAGTTTATCAACAAGGTGCAAATACAGGACACTTTGTCCTTAATATTTACACATCATTCATGAAGTTAAGAACACCATGTTCTTAATATTTACACAACACCCATGTCTAGCACAGGGAAATTTTTGTCCGGACGGTTAAAAAAATTATTAAGCACTGGCTAAAGAGTAAATATATTTTAAACAATGACTAAAGAGTAAAGACATCTCTAATTAGTGGTTAACTGTGCACTTCCCCCGAAAGTTTACGAGTTTCTGGACCTGATTTTTGAGTAAACTGTTAATGAGTTGGGTAAAGTCTGCGGACACACTACCCTCCGCAGACTAGAGCCGTCAATATGGGCTTGGCCCGTAAATTAGTAGGGTTGGGCTAGAATTTTTGGAGCCCATTTAAAAACGAGGCTTTTAAGCCCGACCTGAGTAAGCCCGTGAGGCTTGATTGAGGCTGAATTGGGCTGGCCCGTGGGCCTAATAAGAATATTTATTTAAAATATATTAAATATAAAAAGTATAAGACATTGTAGCATCGGAATCATCATTTTGCATTGGTGGGCGTGTTCTTACCTAGTACAAAAGTTGCATCCATCATGAAAATGTCCAAACACTTGTTACTACTCAAAATTGGCTGCACGACTTTTCCTAAACTCAAACTGATAATATTTTTTTATGTGAATTTGAATATTATTAGTTTTTAAAATTTAATTATTCTTAATATTTAACTAATTAATATTGCATATGAATTGTAGATGTAGATGAAAGTGAAGATGTTAAGACAGCCTTGTTACAAGCGGATTCAAATGTGTTTGATAAAGATGATGTGTTGGATATCCCTTAAGCAACATGGACGTTCTCTTGAATAGTTGTTTTGAGTTTTGACTTTTAGTGAATGAAATATAGTCTTGTCTTTTACTTTTTTAGTGTTTATTATGATATATTGGATCAATACAAAAAGTAATTTAGTTTTGTGAAATTTTTCTAATAAGATATTTTTTAATTTTTAAATATTTATCCTTTTTAGATTAGTACTTATAGAAAAAATATAAAATTATATTTTAAAAAATGATGGGCCGACCCGTGGGGGCCCACCCCACGGTTCACATATGGCTGGGGTGGGCTGACCATTATAAAGCCCATCAAAATGGTGGGCTAGCCCAACCCGACCCGTCAATTGCTAAAACCCACATAAGTTGGGCTGGGCTAACCCGACCCGGCCCATATTGTCAGTTCTACCACAGACTCAACTTATGAGACTACATTGAGTATGTTGTTGTTGTCATCAATGAGTTAGTATGATCTTATATTGTTAGTGGATTTGCTAGAAGAAAGGCAAAATACATAGTTTACCAATCAACCTTGCAGCGAAATCCCTGTTATACACCTCTCTTTCACGAGAAACCTATCACACACTCAACCTTTCAAAAGTGTGTCTAAGACACATTACTTTTGACCAGATAGCACTTGCGTGTTTACACCTAAAAAAAACGCATGAAGCCCATAAANAATAGAATTTTTGAAAGAACATAAAATTTTAGATCTAAAATTGAGCGGTTTTTATTGGTTTATTGTCCAAATTTTGTGAAAATCATTTATTTGTGATAGATTTAAAAACTTTAAAAATAGTATTGAAGGTTTGGTAAAAAAATCTTGAATCCACCATTGTTGGGGATCGAAAAAAGCTTGAAAATTCATTGGGTTTTGTTGTTTATTGGTTTGTTGAATTTAATTTGTTGCTCGATTATTTTCGACTAGTTGTTTAGATAGTGTGGTTGAATTTTAGTGTTATTGAAAACTTTCTCACAAACAACTATGGTAGAAGCAACAATGATGCTTAAGATAGAAAATGGGAAGATGAAGATGGGTTTTAATTATAATTTCTAATATTTTTTTTTTCCTTTTTAAAGTCAATGACACGTGTCACAACCCTATTAGGGCGTGACTTTCGCGTTATCTGAAAAATTGGTCAAGCACAAAAGTGGTGTGTCTTAGATACACTTTTAAAAGGTTGAGTGTGTAAAAGATTTTCCGTGAATGTGAGGTGTGTAACATGGATTTCGCTACAAGTTTGATGGGTAAATTATGTATTTTTCCCGGAAGAAATAAAGAGAAAGAAGGCATCAGTCACTCAACTGCACTTTTACCATACTGCAACAGTTGTATGAATCCTATGTATCCCTATTTAGAGGTTTTATCAAGTTTAGACTATTTTCGCCTGAATGTAATCATACTGCAGTCCTTTTCCTTATTTGATCTTGAGACTGATTATGCTATGCAATCATTTTCCTTTGTTCAATCTTGAGACTGATTATGCTTTGTAAAACTATCATTGATGGAGTTTAACTATGAAAGAGGATAAAGAAATAAAATAAAAAAAAATTCGGTTGGAAAAAGAAAGCATACTACTAAATCTACTATTTCAACATATTGCTTGCACTGGTCTCATAGCCATCTCTTTTAACATATTCGTTCGACGTCTTCCTTCATGCTTCCCTCAAATCAGTACCCCCTCGGTCATCTCTTTATTCAATATTTGTCATGCTAAGAATGGAGAGTTTAGCAAGAATATGAGCTCTATTTCGGGATTTTCAGGTGTCGAACTCTTTTATCTTCGTCAAGTTGCTTTCACAACGATCTTTTCTCATTCCGAAGTTGATCTTCCGTCCTCTACTGACTCACCCCAATCCGCATTACTAAAAGTGTTAAAAATGACTTCTTGGAAAGTCTCAATAGAGGATGACTGGAAATTTTAACAGTTTTAAAAATCATTTCTAAGAATTGAAATATGGAAAAACCTGCAGTAGCTTGTGATCTAGCTAATCAACAGAACAAATTGTAATCACTCGAGTCTATGAATCATGGAACCTTAAACCCAGCAGGAATGGATGATGCCAACCAACTAGACAGACATTCATACAGCCTCGTTTGTTCCGAATATTTTTAGATGTTATAGCGAATTGTTGTTATAGAGAACATATGTTATAACAAAATATGACATTTGATTCCGAAAAAACTTGGCTTTTATAGCGAAGTACTGTTATATAAGGATGTTGTTATAGAGAGGTTTGAATCAAAATAGATAAAGAAAGGCATGTTAAGCTTGCATTTTCCCAGTATCTTTTTCTTATTGAAGAGTCAAAATAGCAACTCGTAAATTTCCAGAAAAAAGAAAAAGAAAACTATTTTCTCATATTCGTAAAGGAAAAAACCTTATGCAACGAGATAGTGCTTTTCCAACTCTTTCAAATAGAATATATTCCAAACATGTAGGCCATGGTTCCTTACTTCAATACGTTAGAAATATCTGGATTTGATATTTTTATAATACATCTTAGAATGGTGGGTAGTTTAGGGTGAAAATAGCATTGTCTAACCAGTTTTCGGACTGGTAATAAAGTCATTGAAAAATAGCTACCATTTTATGTAGATATAGAATCTGGACAAAAATACCCTAGCTAAAACACGAAAAGTTCCAGTATAAGATGATGTATTATGAAACTCATGCGTATAAACTTCCAGCATATTACGTTGGAACTCCATCACATTATGAAAATCTTTATGTAAAAAAATCGAACTCCAGCATATTATGCTCCATTTTTCCGGATTTTTAAGAGTGTTTTTGTTAAGATTTTATCTTTACATGAAAAAGTGGCTAAATCCTAATTATTTTTAAAACTGTGACTATTTTTCAATTACCAGATATACTCTCCCCCCTCCCCCCCCTCTCCCCCAAGCATTGCCATTTGCATATTAGTGCTGAAAGTAGCAAAGATTTATTTCTGAGAAGGATCTGTGCTGCATTAGGATGATTTACACACTCTGTTCAGAAGTAGCTGGTTTATCTATTTATGTATAGGTAATTAGCCAACATTTAAAAAAAACAGTTTTGCCTTTCCAATAGGAAAGAAGGCGTTTGTTCTTACAGCAACTGGGGAAGTGAAAAATGAACCATATCGAGAGAATATCAGTTAGTACATCCCATATAGGAAACCAGAAATTTCATTATCACAATTCACAACTAAGTGTTAAACATTTGCTAAGCTAAGAAGAAAATCATATTTTGCTATATTACATGAAAATACACAAGAATATCAAATAATTTAAGGCAACCAATCAGGTCCACCCGATTTCTTCAGCAATATCTGATTATACTCAGGTCTTGATGTCTGGAAGAAGAAAAACAAAGAACATTAATCCAAATCGTTCGATTTATGTATAATGAGAAGCATCAAAAGCATAACCAACCATTCCTTCTTAAAAAGCATCATTTCTAACAAAATTTCATAGTCAAGATTTTAAATCTAATGTAATGGAACCAACAGCTTTTTATGATTGTAGAGACTACAAACATGAAGAACTATGCGGGGTGGATGTTCAACCTAAATCAATGTAATTACCGACCACAATCCTAGTTATTAACACTTGCAAAGTTTTTCAAGGAAGTAACTTGTAGGTATAATGAGACCGTCTCTTTTTTTTTCTTCAGTAACCGTGGTGTACGGCCTCCAGTTCGTGCACACTTCGATTATTCCTCCAGGTACCTGCAACCTTTTACCAGCTTTGTCTGTCAAGGCTTAGGCAGATGAGAAGAATTACTTTAGTGTATAACGAGACCATCTTCTAAAAGCCATAGCTGGATCTGAATAGCGAATACCAGGCACTAGAATGACAAGATTGTCCTTGCTTCAGACATATATTATTCTTCAGATTTATCTTGTACCAGTGCTACCCTACAACCAGTATTGATAGATTGAACTAACAGCAGCTTGAAGACCGTTGACTGACTAATGAGAACTCCATCCTACATTCTCCTAACAACTACCTCTAGAGCCTTAAACTCAGTCACAATTAATGAAAGAGGAAAAGGGACACATGTAAAAGGAAAATCAAGAATCTTTTTCAAGAAATTCCTTCATGGATTCATGCAATGAATACACATTTGGTGGACTCATGAACTCTAGATGTTCTTTTCTTTTCATTTATTTTACATATATTGTTGTTCTTCTTCCTTGTTCTTTGAGTTCATTTTAATATTTGTAAATTACTTCAGAAAGGTTAGGTAGCCGAGCGCTGTCCTTGTTTGTAACAATAGTTTTAGTACATTACTTAGTGTCTTTCGTGTATTTTCGTATCCCTAGACCAGAGGCGGCTCAAGAACATTAGAGGCCTAAAGCCAAACTCTTTTGAGAGGCCTTAAACTTAAAAATAATAAACTTCAAATATAAATGAAAAACTAATAGTATGTTAGAACACTAGAACTTGATTCTAGAAGTCAATAACTTGATATAGGATAAATTTCATTGTTGCTGCAATGCTTAAAAAAATGAAAATGAAGCAATTTTAATTTATTCATGTCTTCTATCGATAAAAACTCATCGACGCTGGGAGTTTGCACCTAACTAAATAATTAACCTTAAGAATCAACAAATCAAAGTAAAAATGTATATCACTCAACTATGGTTAAGTGTAAAAAAATATGTGTGCAAGAGATATATCTTACATTCATTGTCCTAGTATAAACACCCAGTGTAGGTAAACTTTTACCGACTTTCATCCCTTATCTTTTTAGAGAATAGACACCTTGGTAAGAGGGGAAAACGAGAATATAAAACACAAGTTTTATTTTGAGAAAGAAAAAGAAGAAGAATATTAATATGAGAGTGCAAATTAAGTATTAGTCATCATAAGTCACATTGGCTAAATAATAATCTCTATTCTTTTTTAGAAAAATCTTATATCTTTTTACCATAAATATTCAAATGTATTTTGGAAAAATTACTTTAGTATTAACCTATTATTAATCTAAAAAATGGGGCCCTAGAAATTTTAGGCCTAAAGCCATTGCTTCATTGGCTTTACCCTCTAGCCGGCACTGCCCTAGACTTCTGTTATTACTTGTTGTTGCCTTTGTTTTGATTTTCTGATTGCATTACCTAGTGTTAGTTTTGTATTTTTGCTTCGATTGCCAGATTGCTTTGCTTATTATTGCCCTTCCCTTTATCTTTCCTGACCCGAGAGTCTACCGGAAACAACCTCTCTGCCTTCTTAAAGGTAGGGCCGTAGGGGTAAGGTCTGCTTACATTCAACCCTCCCCAGATCTCACTTGTGGAACTACATTGGGTATGTTGTTGTTGTTACTTTCCAACCAAAAAGCAATGCAGCAATTAGAGGCAGACAGGCTGTATCATAAATAGATAATTTCAATAATCACATGTCTTTTTTGGGGGTTGAAACTTGAAAGGGCAAATCACAGACTTTTAAAAGTCTGTTTATTTGAAAGAGAAAATAAAGAACAAGAATATCAGATGTCATCACTTTGAATGACAGTAAAGTATTCTTACAGTTAAAATTTGTTAATGACATTTAAGATACATAAAAACACAATCCCTAAATCAAGAATGAAGCAACTAATGAAAGATTGACCACCTTAACTAGAGTGCAAGATGGAATGCTCTCAGACCACAGCTGGTTAATAGTCAGAACCATTAGGGAATAGGGAATTGTAAAACAAAAACTTGTAAGTGTGAAATTAGGAAAATCTTTGAATTCTTGACTTTGTACAGTTCATACTTTGCATTTGGGTCATTATTGGAAACTGTTTAAATTATTGGACTACAACTACAACATCTAAGTCTCAATCCCAAAATCCCAAGCAAATCGAGTTAGGCTATATGAATCCTCACTAATCATGTCGCTTCATTTAAGCTCATCCCTAATAAATTGTTGGATAGCTACACAAATAGGTGAAAAACATGGGAGATCAAGGTTCAAATCAGATAAAAAAGACGTAAGGTGATTTCTTCCCATCTGTCTAAACCTTCATGTGAACTATAGTCACAAGTTCGAGTCGTGGAATTAGCCACTAACACCTGTGTTAGGGTAGGCTGCCTATATCACACCAATTAGGGTGCAGCCCTTCCCTGGACCCTGCGTGAATGCGGGATACTTTGTGCACCGGGCTGCCCTATCTAAACCTTCGTGGTCAGATTTACCTAGTAGCTATACGGATGGGAGGTGACGGTACTCGATAAAATAGCCGAGGTTGGTGGTCAGAGCTACCCAGTAGCTATACTGGTGGGAGGTAACGGTACTAGGTAAAATAGTCGAGGTTGGTGTTCAGAGCTGCCTAGCAGCTATACTGGTGCGAGGTAACAGTACTCGGTGAAATAGTCGAGGTATGCACAAACTGCCTCGAACTCTAATGTTATAAGGAAACAATCTTTAAAGGAGAAAACTTTATACATAAGCTCAAATATCCTGCTACTATCCATTTGATCTCTCAAGTTAACAAATGCAAGTAGTAGTTTTTATTTTTTTTTTAATTCTTACATACTATGATTGATTGAATCGAATTGCTGATAAGGTTAAAAAGCAAATAAAGGGAACAATTCAATGGTTACTATTTTTGTAGCAATATGCAATTAACAGTAAATTCTAAAATAATTGAATGGAAGAGTTAAAAAAAAACATTTTTTAAGAAAATGAAAATAACCCAATTTAGTAAATAAAGGTAAAGAAGAGAGGCTAACCAGATCTTTGAAGATTAGATATGCTATAAGGAAAAAGAGGACAAAGAGAATCTCAAACTCAGCGAATCGGACGAAAGTGAATACTGAGTTAACAGCCCGAGTCATAAGCGACGGCGACGATAACCGCTTCGCCATTGTTTTGCTTCAAATTGCAGCCTCTTTACAATTTGGAATTAAACAAATTGAAAATAAGACAATGGAATTTTGAATGTTCATTTATATGTAAGTGCTCCTATTTTAGAGTTCTTGATTCATTTGCTAGAACTATTTAGAGTTAATTAATACCCATTTCTTAAAATAAATATTTCTGTGTTGTGTTCTTTTTTCACAGGTGAGTGTGAGAATATCTTCTAAATAAACATATTAGGAATATAAACAAGGATAGAAAAAGAATCTGATTCAATTTGTTTTTTACTTAATGGAGAGTACATATTTTCACTTTATAAGTGCACCTAAGATACTTATAAATTATTCTAATTTATAAATTTTCTATCGCATTTTATGTGATGATATTTGGCTAAATAATCATAAATATATGTCTATATAAAATTAAAAATTTAAAGTTAAATGGTCGTGCCAAAGTTCTTGTCAAATTTGCTTTTCGAGTGAACTTTGACCAACATTTAACATGATTTTTTACGGTATTGATATGAGGAGAATTGCAAATTATACTATTTTTTGTATAGTTTTTAAATATTTAAATTTTAATTTTAAAATATTAAATTAATCTAATTCAATTTAGATTCAAAGATTAATTAAATTAACTAATTTTTGAGAAGCGAAACATGACAAGTATTTTGGGACAAAAGGAGTACCAAATATAAAAATATAATATATTTTTTTAAACATAATAAAAAAAGAAAATATGTCACGTAGAATTAGAGGAACAGAGTGCACATTAGATTGATATAAATACCAAAGTACAACAATGCTAGTAAGTCTTTATCATATATCTAGAGAGTTACAATTGTACCAGTTTTTTTGTGAAATTTTACCTCTTAATTGTTTTTAGTTTTTAGAAAAAGTTATCTGTCCTTGAGTAAAAAGAAAAAAAAGAGAAAATTATCTGTCATAGGAAGCTTATTTCTGAAAATAGCTGAGAGGCCAATAATGACTCACATAATTACATTCACACTCACCTATAATATACCTGTGACTTTGTGACTCCACTTTGCACTTACGCTCTTACTGAGATTCATTTATACTATACTAACTGTGACCCAACTACAACACTCATTTCACTTTCCTCTCTTCCCCCAAAATCTCCCATTCTTTTTTCTTTTCCATTTTCAAAACAACCTTCTCCTAATTTTAACTCTTTTCTTGACAATTCAAGAACCAAACTCAAAAGTCTAAATCCAAACTTCTCTCTGCTGAAAGATCAAGAACCAACCTCAAAGTTACAATCTTTCTACATTTTACTCAAAATTGTGAGAATATAGCACAAAAAAGGAAAAATATGTCTGCTACTATTAGTGGGGTTCTCTTCCCCTTTCTATTTCTTGTGTTATTTATAAGTTTTCTTGGTGCCCCAGTTTGTCAAGTGAGTTCTTTTTCTCTCTTAATGTAGTTTCTTGTTTCTTGATAGATCCCATTAAAGTTCTTGATATAAACACTGAATTTTTTGTAATGTTTTGAGCTATATTGGCTTTTGTAGACAGAAGGGTCAATCTTTTTGGTATAAAGATTGAATTTTTATGGAATATTGAGCTATATTTGCTTTTGCAGGCAAAAGGGTCAAACAATGTTTGGCATAAAGATTGAATTTCTTTTTGGAATTTTGAGCTTGTTTGCTTGCGTAGACAAAAGGGTCACTTTTTTTTTTTGGTATAAAGATTGAATTTTTATGGAATATTGAGCTATATTTTCTTTTGTAGGCAAAAGGGTCAAAAAATATTTTGCCTAAAGATTGATTTTTTTTGAAATTTTGAGCTTGTTTGCTTGTGCAGGCAAAAGGGTTTTTTTGGTGTAAAGATTGAGTTTTTATGGAATTTTTAGCTGTAACAGCTTATGTAGGCAAAAGGGTCAGATTATTTTGGTATAAAGATTGAATTTTTATGGAGTTTTGAGGTATATTTTGCTATTGTAGGCAAACGGGTCAGAAGAAATGGTGCCACTAATTGAGCCAGGGAAAGCAGAGAAGATGATGATAATGCTGAATAACACAAGGAGAAAGCTTGGGAGTTTTCAGATTTGTGCACTTTGCACTTGCTGTGGTGGGGCCAAAGCAGTTTGCTTGCCTACTCCTTGTTGCTATGCTATCAATTGCAACATACCAAACAGGCCTTTTGGTTACTGTTCTTTCACTCCCAAAACTTGTAATTGCTTTGGATGTCATTACTAAATCCATAAGAAATCAAAAAAAAAGTATCTCTCTTTCTATAAAAGGAAAGAAAATTAAGTTAAGTTAGATCTTTTTTTTTTTTTTTTTTTTTGGTCTTTGATTTGTGTTTATGTGAGTCTGAAAGGGGAGAGGAATATCTGTTCTTAGATTTGATTTGTTTATAATTGTTTGAAGGACAGCTATTTCCAGGTAATCTTTTGCCACTTGATGTTGGGATTTGTGCCCTTGAACTAGCGTTAGATTTTACTCTTTTTCAGTAATGAAAAATTGTGATTCTTTTTCTTAAGTAGCAAAAAACTTGGATTAAGTACTAGATTCAGAGTGAAGTATAATACATATATACATTGATTGAGTGTTTCTCTCTCTTAATGAAGTTTAGTAGATTTGTTTATTACTCCACATTGTTAGTATATTTTATTGATGTTGATAGTCTTTTTCATTATAAAATATTGTTTGCTTAGCGAGGATGTTTACTGAGATATTCATTACTGTCATTAAGTTATATCTATATCTATTGTCTGAATGTTTTGGTCATTAACTAATCTTTTACTGACCACTGGGGTTATTTGTATAAAGGGGCAGTCCGGTGCACTAAGCTCCCGCTAGGCGTGGGGTACAGGAAAAGGTCGGACCACAAGGGTCTATTGTACACAACCTTACCCTATATTTTTGCAAGAGGTTGTTTTCACGGCTCGAGCCTGTGACCGGTAACTTACCGGTCACATGGCATCAATTTTACAAGTTACGCCAAGACTCCCCTTGAAATGTATGTTTATTTGTATAATAATGGGAAAATGATAGTGTAAACATTGAAGCCCTTGAAATGTATGTTTATTTGTATAATAATGGGAAAATGATAGTGTAAACATTGAAGCCCTTGAAATGTATGTTTATTTGTATAATAATGGGAAAATGATAGTGTAAACATTGAAGCTAAGATTGAATTTCCCTATTTTCTAGAGTGTAGGACCTAGGTGATGTTAGTAGAGTTTGTTGTTTACTATTGATGTTGAAAGGGTCTACATGTGATATTGGTTCATTATTGGAAAAATATGCAGCCCCCACAAGTCCCTATATGTATAAGGAAAAGAAGAGAAAGATTGGGATAGAGCTATCACTTGCCCTATGCAATAAAGAAATTAGATGGGCTTTTATGAAGAGTATGAATAGGGTTGTTGTCAATGTGACAAACTTAACAATTATGGTGGGTGGAAGTTGAGTAGGGTAGTTAATCTCAGCTACCATAATAATGCACTGGATTTTAATTGTAGAGTAGTAGATACTATGTTCCAAACTTTTTCATTTCCATTTTCCATTACATATGTTTTGATTATTGTCTCACCATTTATTTCTGCTTTATGTGATCTATATAGATGATAACAATTAGCTGGAATTGAGTTTTAGTCATGTTAGTACATTTACTTTAGGTCCTATGTTTTTCCAGTAATCTTTTAGCCCAATTAGAGGTTTATATGCCGTTTGAAACTATAGAGAACTTTAAGTATCTTCAATATTAATAAAAAGGGCAGTCTGGTGCACAAGATATCCCGTATTCACGCAGGGTCCGGAAAGGGCCGTACCTTAAGGGATGTGACGTAGACAGCCTACACTAATGCTAGCATTAGTGGCTGCTTTCACGGCTCGGACCCGTAATCTATAGGTCACACAGAGACAATTTTACTGTTGCTCTAAGACTCCCTTTCTTCAATATTAGTCTTATAAAATATTAAATTGCGATGAGCTTAAATGAGTAACATGGTCAATAAGGATTCATATAGTCGATTCAACTTATTTGGTATTGAGGCGTAGTCATTGTTGTTACTGCCTATCAAAGTATAGGCAAATGAGAAGAAATCTCTTTAACATTTTTTTGTCTCTGTCGAGAATTGAACCTTGATCTCATGCGACATCTCATATCCGCTTCATTGACTAGTAGGCCACATGATACTTTTATGGTCTCTTTTTTAGCTTGGTTGGCTAATATGGATCCAAATAACACTAACTATGCAACTTGTGAGTGAATAAGAATGTGAATAAGTGGGGGACTGGTGTTAACCAACCAAATCTGAATCTGCTGTTTTGAGACTATTTGACTCTAGAAATATAGTGTGTAGGGAATCTAATTGACCTTAAGTTTGGGATAACTATGTTAAGCAACACATGTGACATGTTCTGCCTTGGGACAAGATGAGAAGATTTGCAGCCTCCCTTTGTATAATTGAATTGTTTTGAAGAAGTGGCTGCTTGTTGCTTATAATTTATCTTGAAATACTCTTTTGTTCAATCAGTCAACTTACTTGCTAATGTATTCTCTCAGTACCTTCTTGGTACTTTTTTAATAAAATCTTTACCTTATCTTCCAAAAAAAAAGGCTGCCCGTTCGATCCGGTAATACGTGTCCTCACCATATATGAGAGAATAGAATAATAAAAGTTTAGTTTCTCGCCGAGTTTTTACACCAAATTCAATAATTTAATCTTAGCAATTAAAACTCAAAGTGAGGATACATATGTGTGTATGAAAGACATGTTTTGCATTCCATGAGTTGGTGTAAACAATAGGCGTGGATCAATTTTTGTCAGTCTTTTACTCTCAAACCATTTTTTTTTTGTGAAGAATTAACCCAAATAGCCGCACACCTAATTTCTTAAACTAAAAAAAGCTAGCGGATGTATAATATATGTAAAATTCATATATAATATGCGTATATCTGTGTATAATCAATATATAATTTATGTATACCGGCCAGAAAAAGTAAGCAGTGAATCTAGCCGGCTATTTTTGTAACAATCCCAAAAACTTTTAAGCAAGAGAAATTAGGGACCTCTCGCTTAGAAATTCCAATGAGGGAGTAAATTTTCTAAAGATTTTGAGGTCATTACATTGGAAGACAGGGCAATAAATGATATCAATCGAATCTTACCTAAAAGATAAAAAGATCAATGGGTTACACAAAATTGTACACTGCTAAAATACTAGAC